AAAAAAAAAGGAAGCATGCCGCAACTTCCACAGCACTAAACCCAATGTGGTAAAGGGACTTGGCATCAGGTAATAATCTGCATTGGGTGCATAATATTTTCATCGTGCCTTATTATTAGTAGTCTATCTAGGCTGGAATACGATGTGTTGTCAGCGTACGTATGTTGGGGAAGAGCGGTAAGGGAAAAGTTGGGATTCAAGCTATGGTTGGAGAGGAATTTCTCCCCCAGGAGACTTTTCTTTTGTTAATCCCGTGAGAGGTTTCGTACTTTGTACACCAGGAAATCGGAAGGGATGTGTAAGGAGAGATACATAGGGAGTACAGTACGTAGTAGCTATTCCCCATAACAATAAACAGAATGAAACAAATTAAGGTCATGTACGACCCTCTATCAGATTTCCAACTTTTCTTATAATATGACACCGCTGATTGGTGAATGGACGATCGTTCGGGGTGAAGGATGAAAGAACTACATACAGGCCCTGACCTAGCCCTAGAATCAGGGGTTGTAAGATATATATCGAGATATCATACAATCCCTAAGATACTTATGAATGAACAATATACGTAAATGAAGAAAATGAATCAACAACATAAATGCGATGAAATGACGAAAGACCGTAGTTCTTAGTCAGCGAAGGCGGTGACCGCTTATCGCGCGATTTACTCGCCAACCAAATAATTCAGAATGAATTGCTGCCAGAACAAGAGCCTCGATGGATGGGCTGCAGGAAGCTATTAGTAGTCTAGCAGCTACTAGTATCTATCGTGCCTGATCGTTCTCTGAGCGTCATCCTAGTCCAATCATCGTCTGCGCATCTCATTCAGACCCTTATCTCTGTCGAGTTCGAGCCAACACTGCCCTGCAGGTCCCGATAGAAATCCCCTCTATCAACGGCTCCCCGCCTCCACTTGCGGGTCATTAGCAGTCTGGGGGCGACCTATCTCATTCCATCTACCAACTTTCAATGATCTGTGCTCATCGACCTGCGTGATACTGAACAATTGGTGTTATGCCCATCTACACACTAGCCGCCGCGCCTGTATAGCTAATGCGCTCATCACAAGACCAGGATCTCTGTGTCCAGCCCTCACTACCCGCGACGTAACCTGCAGGTCACCTCTCGTCTTCAACCCCCGGCGACATCCATTCAAAATCAAAGCGTCAAGTGCTCCCCCCACGTTCGATAAGCATGCTCCGCTCTGACCGTACGCTTTATCCGAACATTCTTGAGTGGACTTGACAAGCATGAACGAGGGCTCTGCGGAGAAGAGGCCAGAATTGGCTATGGAGTCTTCAACATTCAAAGGACCTCGAGGAAAGCCGAGTGCGCGGTCCCAGACAATGAACACAGATAGCAGTTCTACTTCCAAGAGGCGCTGTGTCAGCACAGCCTGCATCGCCTGTCGCCGAAGGAAATCGAAGGTACAGGAGCTACTTTCACTGCCTCCAAAAACTTCACATCTAATGTTTGCTCCCAGTGCGATGGCAATCTACCCAGTTGTGCAGCCTGCTCCTCTGTATACCATACGACCTGTAATTTCATCATATCAACGAATGCGTAACGCGATAGACATGACTAACTACTTCTTAGGCGTTTATGATCCGAATTCCGACCATCGTCGCAAAGGGGTATATAAGAAGGACACTGATACGCTGCGGACTAAGAATGCGACTCTACTGACCTTGATACAAGCCATACTGAACTATGAAGAAGAGGATGCTTTCGACTTAGTCCGACAGATACGATCCTGCGACAATTTAGAAGATGTAGCACAGTCGATTATGGGCCAGGAAAGGAATTCGACGTCCACTTCCAGGGATCTAATACCTAATGGAGATTATGATCCGGCACAGACAGATCAATTCGAGTCGGAATTAGCGGGAAAGATGAGTGGCCTTATGCTGGACGGCTCTCGGAAGTTTATTGGCGGCACTTCGAACCTCATCTTCTTGCCGCCTGGGTCGGAGCTTTATGAGTATAATACGGACTTGGAGGGCCAGAGTGTGGGCCATACACCCGATCGCTCTATTACTCAATGGACGAGAGTCACTGCGGATAAACAGTTACTTAGCCACCTCATGACGATGTACTTCACATGGCATTACCCTTTTTTCACAACCCTCTCAAAAGATCTCTTTTATCGCGATTATATTCATGGTGTTTCCGGTCAGTACTGTTCGTCTCTATTGGTCAATGCAATGCTAGCACTCGGCTGCCACTTCAGCTCTTGGGACGGGGCTCGGGAAGACCCTCAGAATCCGGCAACCGCAGGAGATCACTTTTTCAAGGAAGCAAAAAGGCTTGTGCTCGAAAATGATGAGCATGCAAATGCGAAACTTTGCACGGTCCAAGCTCTCGCCCTCATGTCTGTCAGAGAGGCTGGGTGTGGCCGCGAAGGCAAAGGCTGGGTCTATAGTGGCATGAGCTTTCGTATGGCATTAGATTTAGGGCTAAACTTCGACTCAACCAGCCTTGGAGCTCGCAACCTTGATGAAGAGGAGGTTGACGCACGGCGAATTACTTTCTGGGGCTGTTTCCTTATTGACAAGTACTTCCCTCCCTGCTATTTCATATAGATGCTCGAGCAAATGGCTAATTATCATAGATGCTGGTCCAATTACCTTGGTCGCCTTCCACAACTAGCAGCTACTAGCGTGAGCGTGCCAAAGATTGACATTCTACCGAACGAGGAGGCAGAATTGTGGTCTCCCTACACTGATGCTGGGGCCAGCCTTGAAAATACACAGCCCTCCCGTACCAGAACGGTGGCATTACAAATATGCAAACTGTGTGAGATCAGTGGTGATCTACTCGTGTCTTTCTATGATCCAACTCCCCGAGATAAACCCCTCTCGAAACAGGTTGAACTAAAGAGGCTCAGTGAAATTCACACGAGGCTTGAGGCGTGGAAGAAGGACTTGCCGAAAGAGCTAGAACCAAAAGAAAGGCTACTACCTCAGGCTTTGCTCATGCAGTAAGCAGAAAAATGCCTATCCTTGGTATACTGTAACGGTAATACTAACATTGTTGCAGTATGTTCTACCAACTCCTCTTCATACACCTTTATCGCCCTTTCCTGAAGTACACAAAGTCAAACTCACCTCTTCCCCAACACGTCTCTCCCCGTAAGCTGTGCACGCAGGCTGCTTCCGCCATTTCAAAGCTGCTCCGAATATACAAGCGTACCTACGGTTTCAAGCAGATCTGCAATGTTGCAGTCTATATGGCTCATACCGCCTGTACCATCCACCTGCTCAACCTCCCGGAAAAGAACGCTCAAAGAGACGTTATTCATTGTCTCCGGCACCTGGAGGAAATGGGCGAAAGCTGGCTTTGCGCTCGACGGACCCTTAGAATCCTTGATATATCGGCCAGTAAGTGGCAAGTTGAGCTGCCTCCCGAGGCGGTTATAGTTTTCGAACAGACGCATCTGAAATGGGGTTCATGGGGTTCATGGGACCAAGCAGCATCATCGCCCTCCACCTCTGAACAGTCTCCATCTTCCGTTGCAGCTCAACCTCCTGCAACAATTCCAAACAATCTACCGTCGCCTGGCCAATACGCTCCCACACGCGAGACAGGCGATCCTTCATTTCCAGGCCCTTCCAATGCACTTGGATCTTTAGGCACCCAGTATGCGACAGGGGTGCCGATTCCCACATCTCTGTCGGCCATGCGAGCAGCTCAGCGGTATTCAAGTGCACAACTACCACGAACAGACGCCCAATTACCAGAGCCAACATACCTGCGGCCTGTGTCACATGCTTACGGCTCAATGCATACTGTTCCGCTCTCTCAGCATGACTCTTGGTATGATCCAAAGGATGCACAAAACCGATCACTAGGTACCGGTCAAGATATATCATCCACATCAAGCGCATCTCCAATGACTGGATTCGGTACACCGGAGAATTTAGTTGAAGAAAGTCAAGATTGGTGGTTTCGGGATGCGAATGCGTTTAATCCAGGGTATGAGAATTGGAAAGAAGGCTGGAACTCTGCTATGACTGGGATGACGCCCGACTTCCGCTACGTCGGGCAGGCATCCGGGCCTGACAACACTTCCAGGCCTCAAACAGTCAGGTATGCTGTGGGAGTCCCTCCTAATATAACACAACCGGACGAGAACCCCGCGATCCCGAGATACAATGAGGCAGTTTACCCGAGAAACTACTAGCCTTGACCTCGATGGCACTTCTACGTACGGCCTGTATTATGATTTACCATTTGGGATGTTGGTTATTTACGATTTTAATGAGGGTACGGACTTTCTCTTCGTTTTCTTCAGACTCCCTTCCCGCTTGTTTTCTACATCTTTATAAAAAGAAGTGTATACTGTACAGGCTTCGAACCTCTTTCGTGAAAACCCATATTCAGGGTACTATCAGCCACGATTTTGTATATTTTTGTTTCGAGATCCTTGCTCCGCGAGTTCTCGCCCTATACATCGGGTTGTACGAACCCACATGGATATATATTGAGGGTGACTGAAATCTTATATTCAATGTAATAATTTATGCTGAAAAAGAAACAATTCGTCCGGGACATTGAATAAAACCACTCTGTAAGATATGGACACTTCGACCCCAATGGACATATGAATAGACAGAATGGATCGTTCCCCGCTTTCAACAGATCATAAAGGTAACTCCAAGGTTCAACTTCAGAATGCAAAGTATGCTCAACATCATACTTCTAGAATCATCGCTGGGTCTTGAATAAAAGAGCTGATACGGGCCGGCCTATATAAGAATGTAGATAGGACAGAAAGGAAGTGGAATTATGCGTCAGTGGTATCACTATTGAGCTAGTTAGAATGCGCGAACGAGAAAGCCATACCTAGGGAGAAAATGGAGACTTACCAGGAAATAATCTGCAACGGGCTTTTTGGCGGGCATGCCCCTTGTATCCTGCGCAGCGGCTTCGAAAACCCTGTACCTTCTTCCGGGACTCCTCACGCCTGGCTTATCAGTTGTCATAATGCCGTTGCTCCGTCCGTAGTCACCATTGCTCCTCGTCACCGTACCACCGTTGCTTGTGTCTTCGCCGAGTTCCAGGATGGATGCCACGTTTCCACACCGGTAGCAGTAGTTGGGGGCTGACCAGACAGTGACGATCCCGCCGTCGAACATCTCCTTATAGCCCTCCATCACAAGCTGATGGGCGCGCGCAATCAGGGATAGGTCGTTTGTGTAGTTGAACTGCTTCACGATATCCCCGCCAAACAGGAACCCGGCACCGCGCGGGCTCAATCCCCAGCCGTCAATTTCATCAGGGTCCGACCATAACAGGTCGCACATGGCGCCTTCATGGGGAACTTCTTGTTTTCTGTCGATTAAACGAATTTTGTCGACTGTGTCAATCAGAGGAGAGAGACCGCCGTGCACGCAGAGGACTGCTCCGGTTCTGCTCGAATAGCTACCCGCACCTTCTCCCGAGGCACCTGTGCCGGGAGCACCTGTTCTGAGGGGTGCCTGGCTTGGGATATCCCCTGATGGCGATATGTTTCTGTTCTCTGATGATGCATCCGACGAGGCACTCTGTCTTGGTCGGTATGAGCTGTATGTGACCTCCCCCTTCGAGTTTAGTACTTCGGTCTCCAGTTCTGCGTCGTCAATTGGCATAGTGGACTGAGTAGAATCGTTCATAACGGGTCCTGTCGGTTCAAGTTCCGAGCTTGTTCCAAGAACAAGGGCGCCTAGCGCCAGATAGTCGAAGACTTCACAGCAATAACGCCATACGTTGGCGCTGCCGTACTTCCGGATACACTCGTCATAAAAGCCATAGACCGTTGTGATTTGGCGCGACTCGTGATTTCCACGGATGAGGGTGATACGGTCTGGATAGCGCACTTTGAGGCAGAGAAGCAGGAGGAATGACTCAAGGGAATAGAATCCGCGATCGACAAAATCGCCCATGAAGAGGTAGTTGGTGTCGGGGACATCGCCTCCAACTCGGAAGAGTTCCATCAGATCGTGAAACTGGCCATGGATATCACCACAAATCGTGACTGGCGCATCTACACAGACGACATTTCCTTCTTCTATGAGGAGCTCTCGCGCCTTGTAGCAGAGCTCACGGACCTGGGTTTCGGGTATTAAGCGACAGGCGCGTAATTGGGCGATCGCCCTATATCGCAGATAACAGTTAGTTTCGGCGTTCCTTGGAGTATGTAAAAACATTCGATCATCCTATACCTATCGAGATCGCTCATGGTGAGTTAGCGCAAAGATAGAGACTGGGAATGGATCGATAGGTGAGTCGAAGCAGAGGGGTGGTCGGTGGGTCCTGACTCCAGCGAAGAGTTGGGGGGTAGAGAAGGCGCTGAGTCGGTTGAGCCTGGACAGCCCAGGGAGCAATAAGAATGAAGACCGCTATGTTGACGGCAAAGGAGCGATCATTTTCTTGTCTGCTACAGTATCCAATAAGAGAACACGACAGGGGATCTCCGAAAATTGAGCAGGTTCGCTGAACTGGGGGAGGTCTTTTTCCGTGGCGCGCCAACAAGCTGACAGGACTCTCGCGGTTTGGCGTCCGAGTGACCCCACAGCCAATCATAGACGTCAGAGATAAGATTAGATCTGATCGCCAAGACTAGTCCGAATTCTTCGTTGAAGTCCTTCCAAGTGGACGTCCGTTGACTCCGTTGACTCCGTTCTTCGGTCTCCCCCGGCCTACCTATACTCCTTTCGCTTTCCCCACTACCATTGGCGAGGCCATGTCTCCCTTCTGGGCGGCTCCCTCACTGTTTCTTTAATCGGCCTGAACTTTCCCTCGCAAGGTATGTCAATTGCTTCGTTCCCTATTCTAGTCCCTCTAACGAGGAGTTTCACACAGTAAAGTCCTTCCATGCCGTAGTGACGCCCAGTGCCCTTGAAAAGAATCATCTTCTCCTTCAATTATCGTCAATATGCCGCCACATCTACACCCCCGGTCGCGGTCGACGTCCTCTCTTTTTGCAGCCACGCTCCTTGCGTCTCTTTTTGTCGTCGGCCTGCCACACCTTTTCCCTTGTCCTGCCCCGCGTCGTACACTCGCCGATTCGGAGATGCTTGTCACCGCTGATGGGCAACAAATCCCACGAATTCGAAGGAGGAAGAGGAAGGATGCTGAAATGCTTGGATCAGAAGGGACCGCCCTCGCCCAGACACAGCAAACGCCCGACGAGGTGTCAACATTCCTGCAATTGGAGGAGGAGGCTGAACGATTGGCCAAGGCGGGAAGAGAGTGTCCTGTTCCAAAGCCTGGCGGAGTTCTGGGTGAATTGCTTGGCTTTTCGAAAGGCGTCAACGAAAACTAGAACCTCGACGCAGATGTCAACGGTCGAGCTTTCCCAGCCACGAGATTCAAAAGGATTTTGTCGTATGCAAGCGGGTTTTGTGACATTACGGGAGATACATTATGAAAACGGTCGCTGGAATATTGGACCTACTGTTTAGAATATCTATTGGCATTGGGTCATGCCACGGAGGCACCAAACTCAATGCCAGCAATATACCCATGTACAGATAGTCATCTGAAGCCATGATGCACAATGGCATTTTTATGTCTATAACTTGACTCAATCAATTTCTTAGAAAGCACTTTTATTACTCTGTGTCCATTGCGCCCTACCTTGCTCCGGGTCGATGCTGTTGCAGCGCGACGTATCTGGATTAGCAAAAATCCCGCTAAGCCGGAAATGGTCAAATATCATTGGTCCTCCCGCCTGAGGCCACATACTGTTGTACAATTCCAGCACGACATCAACGATGGAGTTGAAGCACTTCCTCCACGAACTCTGCCTGAACCCCAGACATACAAAATGGATTGCACCACTTCTTATCGTAGGCGATGCCTTCCTATGTGCTCTTATCGTCTGGAAGATCCCATGTAAGTTTGTATTGCTATCATTGTGTTGTTTCCTCGTGCGGAGCTAATCATTGCGACTGCATCTAGATACTGAGATCGACTGGACGACATACATGCAACAGATAGCGCTTTACCTCTCTGGTGAACGTGACTATACCTTGATTAAGGGATCCACTGGACCCCTTGTATACCCGGCCGCCCACGTATATAGCTACACAGCACTCTATCACCTAACAGATGAAGGCCGAGATATTCTCTTCGGACAGATATTATTTGCTGTCTTCTACCTTGTCACGCTAGCGATCGTGATGGCTTGCTACAGGCAGTCAGGCGCTCCTCCGTATCTGTTTCCTCTTCTTGTCCTTTCCAAGCGGCTCCACAGTGTCTTTGTCTTGCGCCTTTTCAATGATGGCCTTGCAGCCTGTGCCATGTGGACAGCAATCCTGCTCTTCCAGAATAAGAAATGGACGGCTGGCGTTACGGCCTGGTCTGTTGGGGTTGGCATTAAGATGACGTTACTGCTCCTTACGCCAGCCATCGCGGTGGTAACTGTACTCAGCCTTTCCCTGGCGCCAAGTATTCGACTTGGAATTCTAGCATTGCTCATTCAGGTACGCATATAATATCCAATCAGGGGAGTCAAGCTATGGCTGACTTACAAATGTTTAGGTTCTACTAGCGATTCCCTTCCTACAAGGTAACCCTACAGGATACGCCGCGCGGGCCTTTGAGTTGACTAGACAGTTCATGTTCAAGTGGACTGTCAATTGGAGGTTTGTGGGTGAAGAATTGTTCCTATCCAAACAGTTCTCTTTGGCCTTGCTAGCATTGCATATTGGTCTGCTGGGATTATTTGCTGCCACAGGCTGGTTACGACCGTCGGGATCTAACCTCCCTGGCTTCCTCCGGAATCTGCTCCAAGGACGCCAACGCACCGTGGCGCTTTCCAAGTCTTTCATGATGACCGTGATGTTGACATCGCTCGTGATCGGATTGTTGTGCGCAAGGTCCCTTCATTACCAGTTCTTCGCCTATCTCTCCTGGGCTACGCCTTTCCTTCTCTGGCGGGCTGGATTCCATCCGATCCTTATATATGCGACCTGGGCACTGCAGGAGTGGGGTTGGAATGTCTACCCAAGCACCAATGCCAGTTCTTCGGTCGTTGTCTTCTCACTTGCTGTTCAGGTTTTCGGTGTCCTCTTTAATTGCAGAAACGCACTGAGCGATACGCCTCCGAAGCGCAACGGAAAGGAGCACATCCAGTGATAATAAGCCAATCATAGGCTGCAAATTGATCGTTGATTTCATTGTTTTCCTCACTTGACCCAAGTGGTTCTCATTAGACGTAGACGCACGCGCATGGATGCAGCGATCACCGCGCGTCGATTAGTTCAGGCGTCGGAGTCGTCCGAGGGAGGCATCTGGCCCACTTTTGACTCTTCTTCATCCTCTGAATCCGATGCAATAACAGTAGATTGCTTAATGAATTCCTTCGGCCTGTGAAAACAATATCAGTAAAAGTACCAAGAAAGAATTGGCTAAGTCGTTTTACCAGAATGGAGCCTTGCGCCAGGCTTTCTCATCCCGGACGATATTAACGATCTCCCCAGCAAGCTTGTTGTCCCGGTCCTCAAGAGCGTTCATATCGACCACGACGTAGGAGTTGCGTTTCATCCAGATTCTTGAACGGAAGCGGGAAGGTAGTTCGACCAAAACTGTGTCTTTTGATGGTAGTTCGACCACATATAAATTGTTTCCCGTTGCTTTGCTGACTCGCGCGATATGCTGCCCTTGTTGGAGCTCGTCTGGAGGGGTCAGAGTTTCTTCCGCTGTTGCTAGTACCTTGCGCCGTGGTGGTGCCATGATGATCTATTGCAATTGGGTTCTCTTTTTTTGGACGTAAAGTATTGTAATCTCTTAAATGCTGTCTTGTACGAAGCAATTGTTGGTCATATAAGCTGTGATGAGGGGTAGTATTATTGTGTTTGATAGCGGAGGGGGTTGTTTAGAAGAAAAAAAAAAAAAGATCCCCAAATTAGCATGTGGGGAAGGGTGTGGTTCTTGAAAGTTGACTGGTCACCCTGCAGTGGATCTCTTTGGCCTTCCACCTATCTAGTCCGTTTTACTCCAGTAAATCTCCTCCACCCACACTACTACTAGTAGTAGTACAGACTATACATTTTCTCTCCCAAGTTCTACGTACCAGGGTTCTCTCATGAAGTTCATTGCTAACCTTCAAAGTTTCATTAACGTGCAACAGTAAGAAATAATTGAGCCAATTCTAATTGCTTAAAGCATTAGTTCACTCACTCAAAACCCCCAACAAGAGATGTCAGCAGAACATGGTTTTGGGTCTATCCGTGATGGCGTTTTTCCCAATCGCTTCGGAGCTGTCTGGGACCCTCTTTTATTTTGACATTAAGAGGATTATCGATCGGGTTCCATGAATTCCGCTTGCATTGATAATATTGACGGTCGGATTCCGTTTTCCTCTCTTTTACAAATCCGTCGACCGCTCTTTTGTGGCCTCGGGGAGTAGATTAAATAAACCTTGCTCTTTGTTTTCCTTTTCCTTTCTTTTCCTCTTTTGGATGTTTGTCTTGGGTATCCAGTGCGTTTAAGACAGAGGCTCAATATGTCTACGTCGGTGTTTGGTGCTCTACTGCAACTAGAAAGCTCACCACCAATCGCGAACCCTGCAGCTGCGGTGCACAGGGATAAGCATGGCCTTGTCAATGCATCTTCTGATCTCGAGTTAAATGAAGTTCGGCACGGTTCAAGCCCAACACCCAAAGCGACGGAGGCGAATTCTGGCACCACCACTCCACTTACACCTACAGGAGTGGAGAACCATTCCACTGCGCCGGACGTGTACGAATCTGCGTATCCAAGTGCAGACCAGGCAAGTTCATCACAAACGAAATGGCGCTTGCTCAGTGCTTGTCTGATGAGTTTGGGCGGTGGGTTGAACGACAGCGCTCCAGGAGCCTTAATCCCTTACATTGAGGAGGGTTATAATATCGGCTACGCCGTTGTATCTCTAATTTTCGTGACCAATGCTCTTGGTTTCATCCTTGCTGCACCCTTCACCCATGCATTAGAGGCCAAACTCGGGCGGTCAAAGGCCTATGCTTTGTCCATGGCTGTACTCGCTGCGGGATACGTGATTATTGTATGCAAGCCGCCATTCCCAGCAATTGTAGCGAGCTTCTTTCTCCTTGGATTCGGGCTGGCTCTACAACTTGCTCTCAACAACGTATTTTGCGCCAATCTCGTGAACAGTACCACAGCACTGGGTTTCCTTCACGGCAGTTATGGGATTGGAGGAATCATAGGACCGCTTATAGCGACAGCTTTGGCGTCCCATGGGGTCCGATGGTCCTTCTTTTACTGTATCTCCCTTGCCCTGGCCTTATTCAACGCAGCATTTGCGGCTTGGACATTCCGTGGGTACGAAAAGGACCTGCCCGTACAACTGCTTACTACACTCCAACAGTATACTTCCCAACAGGACCATGATCATGGCGTTTCGAGTAAGACACACTCGTTGAAGCAGGCAGTCAAAAACAGAACCACTCTTCTCGGTGCACTCTTTATCTTCGCATATCAGGGTGCGGAGGTCTCTATTTCAGGCTGGGTCGTATCATTTCTTATCAGTTATCGTGATGGAAACCCTTCGCAGGTAGGGTACGTGAGTGCAGGATTTTGGGCTGGCATCACTCTTGGGCGTTTCGCCCTCTCCCACCCGGTCCACATGATCGGAGAGAAGCTGTCCGTCATCCTGCTTGTGATAGGATCAGTCGCCTTTCAAGTGATGACGTGGCTGATCCCCAACGTTATCGGAGATGCCGTTGCGGTTTCTATTGTGGGTTTGCTCCTGGGACCTGTCTACCCTTGCGCTACAGCAGTGTTCAGCAAGCTGCTCCCCCGGTCGATGCAGATGTCAAGTTTGAGTTTTATCAGTGCATTAGGAAGCAGTGGTGGTGCTGTATCGCCTTTTTTTACTGGACTTCTTGCTCAAAAAGTGGGTACGTTTGTCTTGCACCCGATCTGTATCGGATTGTACGGTGTGATGCTCACGGGCTGGGCCTGCCTCCCTCGGATCTCGAAGAGATCTGAATAAAAAGTTAATGTGTCTTTTACTGCATGGTGTCGACTCGGGCCAATATCCTTGTTTCGGTAGCGTTAAGAAGACTTTTTTTTTTTTTCTTTTTTTTTACGCTTCTATAATCTTCTGTTTAGTCTACACTTTCCGAGCACCAGGACAATGACTATAACTCGACACAAGCTTCATTATAACCGGACAACGCTTTTTAAAATATAGTAAACGACCCTTTTGAGTGGGGTACCATCTGATGTGTTTTTTTGATGCGCCACATGACCATTTGTTGCATCTGTACACTGCAAGGGGCATAAGATCCGATCTGTTATCTGTTGGCATCCAATCCACTATTTCATGGCAATACAATGCTCGTACGCAGAAAGGTGCATGTTTTACCTGTTATATATCTTATGTCATGCCTATGTAAATGCTCTCAGATCGGCCGATCAGGGCATTAGTTGGAGGTACTGTGCAGTGTGACTATCCGTAGGCTGCGATCCCGCAGAGATCTGACGAAGAGACCGTTTCCATTGCTGGCTCGTATATCTGTTGGAAGCACCAGACGAGGAAAACGAACTAATAAAAACCAAGAGAAAAGGAAAGAAAAGAAAGGGGGATTTATTGTCCTATCTATGGGTTTGGAGGTAGTTGTACCTACTAAGTAGGAAAGGTATTGGTATCGGCCGGCCAGGCAATCTACGCCCAAAGAGGAAATAGACAGGGCAAGCTGGGGTTGACCCTGTGTTAATGATGTACATAGTTACAGCATACCAGATGACAAAGACAAGTTTACTTTCTGACTGGAACAACCGTCTTCCTCTTGCCGTGAAGAAGGAATCGAGGCCAGCGAAAGGGTCATTGTTTGCCACCACCTGTCAGACAATTCGGTACAACAGTCCCTTGACTCGGGGCAATTCGCGTTTGGATTTATTTACATCATTGTTTTGTTTTCGTCAGCATTTCACCTCCCGAGACATTCTTTGGTCTTTTCATATTCTTGAAGAGTTTCTGCGGTTTCTGAATAGGATATGCTAACTACCTGACCACGGCAATTTGAAATACTTTTCTGACTCTTCCGAATGTTTACCTTGATGACTAGTACTTAGTACTTTTAAAATCCCCTTTGACACACACGTGCTCCCCCATCGGATAAAATTACCCAAGGACTAAGTTATTGGACTTGCCCCTCCGTCCCGCGACTGCCTGAGGAGTAAATGCGGGCGGTAAAGCAAAAACAACGAAGAAAGTAAAGTCTGGACACCAAAAAGTCAACCCACTTCCACACCCCCCCCCAAAAAAAAAGGAAAGGATTCCAAAAACAATTTTCCCTTTTCTATGCTTTGTGTGCGGTGACAGAGACTCCATTGCTGGAATCATCTCTTCTCGCTGTCCGACTCTTCTCCCTCTCCCCACTTCCGCAGTAACCTGCGGGCATTGACCGAGAGTGACTGTCTGGCACGGCTCGTCATCGTAACGGGGGAACCTGTCTCACCATTTCCCGAGTGGCATTAACTTAACGGGAACGTTGACTGTCAGTCCCGTTGCGATTTATTGATCATCCATCCCCTCTCTCTAGAGAATAATCTGTCAACAAAAGTACCCCGCGGCGAACGTTTTCTTCCCCTCTAGAACGCTTTGCCTGCTAGCTGTATTCCACACTTCTATTCCCATCTATTATTGATCGCATTGCTGTTCTCTCAGTTGAAATAATTCGGAACGTCGGTCGTCGTCCCACCACCCTCTCAACATGGACGGGGACGACCTCATCGCCTCGGTTTACCGCAAGATCGAGCGGGAAAAGGCCCTGATCGCCGCCGCGTCCAATATGCGACAGTCAACCGACAACCCCCTCGTGCAACAGAGAGTTGATGCGAATATCCGTGATGGTCGGAAGAACATTGCTTATCTGGAGGAGAAGATGAGAGAGTTGCAGCTACGTCGAGAAGGAGGATCCCCCACAGACAAGCGTCTCCCGCCTGAACCGGGTGCAGGACCAGCCCCTCCTCCGAAGGACTATGGTTCCGGCTATGACGAGTATGACGCCTCGGGGGCTTACCCGCAAGGAGGATCTGGTTCCATGCCGACAGGCGCTCCCTTTTCAGATCCCCGGCCTTTTGCTCCTGTTCCCAAGGCCCGGCCGAATTTCTCTAAACTTGGTATGCTTTACCTGTCGCTCAGCACCGACAGGGGCCTTGCAAGCTTCCAGGATGTCTAACTGACGCTGTGCTGTGTTCAGACTTGATCAAATATGATACCCCGTATCTCGGACCTAAGATCCAACTCATGTTGTCCCAACTCGAGTTTAAACTGAGTGTTGAAAAGCAATACAAAGCGGGTATTGAGAAGATGGTTCGCCTGTATCAGGATGAGGGTGATAGGAAGAGTCGCGCGGATGCCGAGGGTCGGCGGATCGAGAGTAATCAGAAAATTCAGCTGCTAAAGCAGGCCTTGAAGCGATATGAAGATCTTCACGTTGAAATTGAATCGACAGACTCCCCAGACGGTATGTTCTTTCCACATCGGTGACCGCCGCATAGGAGCTAACAGCTTGTTTTCTAGACGAGAGCCTGAACACACCCAACATGCGCAAGCCACTTACTGGTCTTCTAACATTGCGTATTCAGGCGGTTACTGATGTAGATCATGCCACCAGCTCGAGATTCTCTCGGGGCCCCGAGACTTTCGTCATTATCAAAGTTGAAGACACTATCAAAGCCCGTACAAAAGCGACCCGGACCGATAGATGGCAGGATGAGACCTTCACTATTGACATTGACAAAGCAAACGAAATCGAACTTACCGTGTATGACAAGTCGGGTGACAGACCTACTCCGATTGGCATGCTTTGGGTGCGCATCTCCGATATCGCCGAAGAGATGCGTCGCAAAAAGCTCGAAAGCGAGCTCAATGCATCAGGTTGGGTTTCTGCGGATAAGATGGAACACGGCGGTTCGTCGGGGCGGCCTGACACCGCTGGGCAGCCGGGATCTCCGCATGCCCCAGGCTCCGCGGGGCATTCTGGTCCTCCTGCGCAGGGTTATGCAGGTGCTCCGGGTGGAGCGCCCTCTTCAAACTCAGTGATGATCGAATCTTGGTTCGCATTAGAACCCGTTGGTCGAATCCATCTGTCAATGAGCTTTGGTATGTTTCTATGGCTCGTGTATTATTCTACGCCCGGGTGCACTAACCTGCTGTATAGCCAAACAATTGAAGGATCGGCGACCGTTCGATATTGGTCTTAACCGACAGGGTGCCGTTCGTCAGAAGAAGGAAGAGGTCCACGAAATGCAGGGACACAAGTTCGTCACTCAACAATTTTACAATATCATGCGTTGTGCTCTCTGTGGCGATTTCCTGAAATATGCTGCCGGTATGCAATGTGCCGACTGCAAATATACGTGTCACCGCAAGTGTTACTCAAAGGTCGTTACCAAGTGTATCAGCAAAGCAAACTACGAGACGGATCCAGACGAGGAGAAGATCAATCATCGTATTCCGCATCGGTTCGAGGGCTTCTCCAACCTCTCTGCCAACTGGTGTTGTCACTGCGGGTACTTGCTCCCATTTGGACGTAAAAATGCCAAGCGATGCTCAGGTATGATTTCCTTATGAACTCCAAGCCGTGTATATGACTTTGATGCTTACATTGTTTTTAGAATGTGGCCTCACTTGCCATGCCAACTGTACTCATCTTGTACCTGACTTTTGTGGCATGTCCATGGAAGCTGCGAACCAGATCTTAGAAACGTTGATTCGTGCTAAGAATTACAACAAATCCCCTTCTGTCAGTTCTGGTCTCAGTGGTCGCACTCTGCGGCCAGGTGGTCCGCCTCAAACCCCTCAGGATCCTACTCTTGCATATCCGCAAAAGCCTGTGGAGAGCCCATATGGGTTACCTCAAAGAGAGCCTTCTGCTGAAGCCGTGAGCGCTGCAACCAATTCCTACATACCCCCACAGTCTCCAGCGGCCGCACAGCGACAGCAAATGCCGCCAAGAACGTCATCTGCAGGTCCTGCCGCTGCCGCTGCCGCTGCCGCCACAGGCATGCACACGCCCCAACAGATGCCTAGTATGTTTTCCTACTGCCCCCCTCCCTCAACTCCCGTTCGTTTCCAATTTGTGCTTTTGGAGTAGAAATGACCAGACTAATCACGGAGAAGCAGGTCCGGTGCAAACCCAGCCGCCTTCGCACGCCCACTATGACCCTGCCGCGTATGTGTCCTACCAACAAAGCATGGCGCCCCCGCCGCAACAGCAGATGCCGCAGAAGGTTGCGTCGCCTTACGGTGTACCTCCACAGCAGCAACCTGTGCCAGTAATGCAGCAGCAGGTTGCTGTGAAAGAAGATGCTCCACCCCAGCAACCCAAGGTCAGGATTGGCTTGGATCATTTCAATTTCCTGGCTGTCCTTGGTAAAGGTAACTTTGGAAAGGTCATGCTGGCTGAAACCAAGAGCACCAAGAAGCTTTATGCTATCAAGGTGCTGAAGAAGGAATTCATCATTGAGAACGATGAAGTGGAGAGCACCAAATCTGAGAAGCGTGTCTTCTTGGTTGCAAACAAAGAACGCCACCCATTCCTTCTTAATCTCCACGCCTGCTTCCAGACGGAAACCCGTGTGTACTTTGTTATGGAATATATCAGCGGTGGTGATCTGATGTTGCACATTCAACGCGGCCAGTTTGGCTTGAAACGAGCACAGTACGTTCTTCTAGCCTCCGAGTCCTCTCCCAAATCTTCTTACTCTATCACGTGAAGATAGATGCTATAAGTGCTAATACAACTTGCAGGTTCTACGCTTCAGAAGTTCTGCTGGCACTCAAATATTTCCATGAGAACGGTGTCATCTATCGTGATCTGAAGCTCGATAACATTCTTTTGACACTTGATGGCCACATCAAGATTGCAGATTACGGTCTTTGCAAGGAAAATATGTGGTATGGCGCCACCACAAGCACATTCTGTGGAACTCCCGAGTTTATGGCACCTGAGGTAAAGCCGGATACCCTAGGCTTCTTAGATCTAGTCATGGTTGACTGACATGTTTTCAAAGATTATTCTGGATAAGAAATACGGTCGAGCAGTTGATTGGTGGGCATTTGGTGTGCTGATATACCAGATGCTTCTGCAACAATCTCCCTTCCGTGGTGAAGATGAGGATGAAATCTATGATGCCATTCTTGCCGATGAACCCCTGTATCCTATCCACATGCCCAGGGATTCCGTTTCGATCCTTCAAAAACTGCTCACCCGCGAGCCAGAACTAAGACTTGGCTCCGGCCCGACCGATGCGCAAGAGGTCATGTCTCATGCCTTCTTCAGGAACATCAACTGGGATGATATTTACCACAAGCGCGTCCCTCCTCCGTTCTTGCCGACCATCACCAGCCCCACGGATACAAGCAACTTCGACCAGGAGTTCACCAGCGTCACACCTGTTCTGACGCCTGTGCAATCCGGTAAGCAACTATCCTCTGCGATTTTTTCTTCATCTAACGCTGACCATGACATTTTCTCTCTCCAGTCCTCTCCCAAGCCATGCAGGAAGAATTCCGCGGTTTCTCCTACACAGCAGATTTCGCCTGATCCGAATCTATATCCATTGGTGACTAATTACCTGCAGTCATCGCAGTTATTACTCTTCTGTTCGGCGTGGACCTTGGATTCTTTGTTTCTCTGCCTTCTTGATTGTTACTGCCTTCAGCACTTTTTGCACTGGAAATGTTTAATAACATACCCATGAGAGTTTTGAGAGCAGGTGTAAGCGCTGTTCTGGCTTTTGCGAGTGCAGATGGAATGGAATGAGTAATTTGGTCTGAGGTTGTTTTATCCTATATCTCCCCAGCGTTCTAGGCCGTTTATTTAATTCTCTTGGGGGTTTACTTCCCATTCTCGGAATGTAATTCTTCCTCTACTGTTCGCCTTGAATGTGCCCTACTCGACTGTTCAACGGCACTAGGACCCTCCATTCCTGCCTATATTTGAATGTAACGCGTCTGCATACTGATTTGGTTGTCTATCCCTAGGCTTGTACTAGTAGCTGACCGGGACCACGAAACATGACAAATAAGTCCCATGACCCCAACTCTCCTCTTACTTGCCAAACATCTATCTTTCTAACTTGTGTTACTGCAACCTTGGAGTCCTTTTGCACACTGAAATGAGCACACCTCTTCCATGATAGATATGATTTCATTCTGTTCTCATTGTCTTCCAGAGCACCATTCTGCACTGCCCTTTTCCCACTACGGATTCTTTGCGAAGTATCAATTGGCCATCCTCCTAACAAAGGCCCCATTTTCTCAAGAGAAAAATCATTGACCGACGCCCCATGGTAAATGCTTCTTACTCTAATATCCTCACATAGTCACACAGGTCTTCTTGCTGCGCTCTCCTCATTGCGATACTTACTACTGTTGTGTAATAAGAGCAGACGAATCTTCCAGTTCTTCGATTGATCTTTTAGAATTAAAACACTTGGCGACATTTTATTGCTCCCACTCACACCTACAAAATGAAAACGCGCAGATTTTACAACATGATAAAGGGCTCAAATGGACTCAATCAACCTTTGAATTCGAACGTTCAACCTCTCACTTCTAATAAGATCAAAGTCAAAAAGAGAAAGATCTCTGACCCGAAGCACATTACTGACAAAGACGAAGTCTGCACAGAGCTTCGTACAACAAAGCGAACAGCACTGAAGAAAAAGAAGTTACCTGACGACGCTTCTATTCTGAAAGATATCGCATCTGGCCAGTCTTCCAAGAGAAGGAAGCTCAACGGCCAACCGGACAAGATGGCTCATTTCTCCCCTGGACTCGTCGTTCCTGATCCAGTTGAAGAGACAAAGAATAAAAGTGTCAGTACAAATGCATGGCACCAGGCGAGATCACTGTTAGAGGCCGGCCTTTGTATACTGGGTTCCACGAGCGATGTCTTGACGGTCATGCATTATAACAGACTGTCTTCTCCTGAATCACCTGGGAATCTATCTTCGCCAAAATATTCAGGGAGCACCACAATTGATAATGAGAAAACCATGGCGTCAAAGCAGCTTGTGGTCCGGAAGAGAAGCCATTCTCCTAATGCAGTCCTTTTTATGCCCCAGATAAAAGAAGAGATATTTGATGATTCAGATTTCCGTGTCTCACAGAATAGAGATACGACTGTTGCCTTTAGCCTTTCTGTAGAGAAGACCAGGCGCTGGACTGACGCAATTGACATCCCTGAAGGTCTTTACAACGAGGAAGAGAAAGATCTTTTTTTCCGGCTCGCCATGCGTGGATTTGAGCCCCTCATACCAGAGAAATGGAGACCAGACTTCCCTACGCTTCCATATACCCTATTTTCTAATCCAGAGGGCAATTCAGAGCCACTAATCCACACCTTTAAAAGCTCCAAGACTTATGGTGAGTTCAAGGCTCAACTCCACTTATATTTTCTTTTGGGTATACCACAATTTGCTAAAATCTAGTGTAGCAATCAGGTCTCTCGCAGCTTTATTTTCTCTTGGGGGTCGTGTGAGGGACTGTAGGGTTCTGAAGAAGGGTCCCGAGATCTTGATCAAAACCACCATCAGCCAATATTTTCGCTGGGCCTTACGTGATACTGACATACATACAAGAGCAGATGCAATCCCCGTACATGCCATTTATGCCCAGAAGAAAGGGGAAACCACACTTGATGCCGTTAAAAAGCTGAACCGGCGCCTACAACTACTCGCCAGCCGGCACCGCGAAGCGTTGAATGTGGCAGCCCTAGACAGAGGTCATGGTTCGATTAATCTTCAGCCCAGCGGAACAGACGATGGCCACTCTAGTCCCTCTCAAATTTATCCACTCCTCATTGGAGTTATCATATGTGGCCCTATCATTGCAATCCTAACTCTCGGCACTGACCACTTAGGCACACCTAGTGATACCGACAGCAAATACATCTGCCAGTTTGACTTGGGAGATGCAGGACATGATGTCTGGAATTCACTTGCGATCGCTATCACTGTCATGAAAATCCGGGAAACCATGATGCAACTCGCAGATAATGGGCTAGCTGGTTTCTTTAGGCTTCCTCTGCGCACAGAGTCAACCCCGGATGTGGATATCTAACGATATGCGGCAACTGACTATGGCTCTGTTACTTCGAGAATGGTTCTAGTTGTGCTGAACTGATTAAGACAGTATATATGTTCCTTCTTACATAAATATGTATAAGACCTTCCAAAATCGTTGAATGATGTTTCTTCAAACGTGCTCTACTGCTTCTCCCTTGCATATATATCGCGTATCTTGTGGAGGTTTTAGGTTACGAACCACGCTTAATTTCCTTTAAAATATAGTTATGCGTATAGATATTCATGTATGACCAAACCTAGACTAAGTATATTCAGGTATACTTATCCCCACTGTTTTTGGAAACTTCTATACGATGTATGGTCGAGGGCCCCCTACAGGTCACATGACTTAATACAATGTTGACCGATTCCCCGCGGTTTAGAGTGTTGACATTTGCCCCTATAATATTCAACGCTTCTAGCGCGATCTCATCATGGATGCAATAGAAGATAAGGAGGTCAAACTCCAGCGTGCTTCTGGCGACTTGGTGACGGAATTTTCAGAGAAACTGCCCTCTCTGCTCTGGAAGCCACGAACGGAGAAAGGAGATACCCGAGTTCCACGAAGATGGACACAGGCTGCTAAGACGGAGAGACTCCTAGGCCTTGTAAGTTAAGATGACACTATCCTCTCAATAAACTGAGGAAAATTGGAAATGTACTGAGTTGCTGTTCGCTAACATGAATTCTTGCTACAGCTGGAGCCTTTTCAAGAATGGCCTCAGCTATTGGATCCACACCTTCAAACGCTGCTGCCACCTCTGGTTGATGCTTTCTTAGCGTACTTGCTAAAGCACCGCGATGATTATAAGTCAGATAAGCCACAACAGCAGCGGGCGGTTTATCCCTTGCCAAGGGCAATATGTAGGCTTCTTTACACTTTTTGCAAAGTGCGTGGGGTCAAGGTTATTAGCAGGTTCTTGAATAATGAGCCCAAGTACCTTGACCCTTTACTCAGGGCTTTTATCGAATGGGATACAGTAACCCAAGATGATTCCGAAATCGGCTTGTCAGAGGACATTCCTCGACGGCTTGTTTGGGAGGAACGCTACGTGATGTTGATTTGGCTCTCGCACTTGTTGCTCGCTCCTTTCGACTTGGCGTCTATGTCATCAGATAATATTCCTGTGCCATACGAAAATCTGGGTCAACTTAGACCATTACCGGTTGAGGTACCAACAGTCTCGAGGTCTCTTCTTTCAGTATCGTTGAACTATGTCAATGTCTCTGGGAAAGAGCGTGAGGCTGCCACTGTGGTTCTTGCACGTCTTGTACTGCGGCGGGACATGCAGGCCCTCGGTCTGCTCACTAATGTGACAGACTGGGCATTTTCCATTGTACAACCCGCAGGGAATTCCGAGCTGCCATCTGTCTATACTTGCATCGGTGTCCTTTCTTTCCTTGCACGCTTAGGTGCTTCAGGTCAGGTTGAGGACTTTGCTCCCTTGATCGTGCCCGTGTTCGAGAAGACGTTACGAACTGCTCAGGGAAATTCAGAAATTTCCCATATCATTCAATCATCTGCGTTGGCGCGGAAAATTATTATTAAAATCCTCCGTACTATGACAATTATGGCGCTGCAGCTTAGCGAAAGAGCGAATAACACCCTGTCGGAGGATAAGGTATCTTCCATCTTGGAAGATACCATTGACCACTTTCTGGTGGCTCTCGCTGATAAAGATACGCCCGTACGATTTGCTGCGAGCAAAGCACTCAGTATAATTACATTGAAGCTAGATCTGGATATGGGTACCGAGGTTATAGAGGCAGTTACCGGTTCTTTGGAGGAGAACATACTCTATGAAAACAGTGATGGCACCATCATAACACCATTTGAAGCACGCAGGATTGGAACGGATAATACCAAAAGAAACCTGAACGCTGTTGACGCTCAAAGATGGCAGGGTCTCATACTAACATTGGGTCATTTGCTATTTCGCCGCGCCCCTCCGACTAACCAACTTCTTAATATATTGCAACCACTCGTTTCTGGACTCGACTTTGAGCAGAGATCCTCGACTGGAAGCTCTGTCGGCACTGGGGTCCGTGATGCTTCATGTTTCGGTATATGGGCTCTATCTCGCAAGTATACAACTCAGGAGCTGCTCGCATTGGATGCACAGACAATAAGTACCTCTACGAGCCAAAAGGAGTCAAGCATATTGCAGATGTTGGCTACGGAGTTGATATGTGCCGCTTGTGTGGACCCATCGGGTAATATTCGGAGAGGTGCTTCTGCTGCTTTGCAGGAGTTAATTGGTCGTCATCCTAACACAATCGTTGAAGGTATTCCGCTAGTACAGGTCGTGGATTACCATGCCGTGGCACGCCGTTCACGAGCAATGATTGATGTTGCAAAAGCTACGGCAGACTTAAGCCGTCAATACTGGAGTCCTCTTGTTGAGTCATTGATGCACTGGAGAGGAATTGGTTCGCCAGATGCTGAGTCGAGAAGACAGGCAGCAAATGCGATAGGGGTCCTAAGTACCCATAAAACCTACAAGACGATGAGGATTGTCCTTCAGCGACTGCTCAAGAAAATCTCCAGTCTCCCTCGAGGCGATGTTGAAACGAGACATGGGTGTTTCTTGGCCCTCTCAGCCACAGTAAACGCATTTAACTCCTACCAAGAATCACCATTTGAGAACAAAGACCCGTCCGAAGGCTTGGAGGTTACTACGCAAATACAACAACTCTGGGATATTTTTAGTTCCCCGCTTGGCCCCACAAAAGAGGACTTGACGCTCCAAGTTCGACGTCCGGAATTGACTGCTGAAGCATCATCACGTCTGGTATACTCTCTCTCTAAAGCGGCTTCTTTAACCAAAGATTCCCATCCATCTCAGCCATCAGTTACCTTGCTTGATAAAGCTCGAGAAACCCTCTTACTCTGCATTTCTCGAAGTGAAGACATTGTGATAGAAACTTCTTCAGATGCTATATCAGAGTTGTTCCCTCTTCTACCGTCATCGAAACAAGAGGAGACGATAAATGGCTGGTTTTCGTACATTCATTCCACTTGGAAGTTACCGACTGGCCGCGGTCAGATCTCAGTCCTTGGTTCCATATTCAAGCAAGTTAGGCCTGAAGACGATATAAGGCAGTCAATCATAAAGGAACTGCTACAGTGTGCCGGAAAAGAAGAATTGATTGAGAAGCGAGTAGTAGCTGTAAGGAGTTTGGCCAATGGTGTTCTGCCGTATATAGGTACGTGAATCACAATGCACAATGAACGATGCTGACCATGTTGCAGATATAACGGATGCTATCTCAGACCATCTTATCGAGTTCTTGAATGACTATACGACAGATAGACGAGGAGATATTGGGTCATTGATAAGACTGGAGGCAATTCAAGCTGCCACGATAGTCCTCCAAAAAGAATCCGGCTGTGCAACTCGCACCCGCCGAGTCCAGAGCATCATCAGTTGTTTATGTCGACTTGCAGCAGAGAAGCTAGACAGAGTCCGCCTTCAAGCTTGGCTTTGCTTGCAGAGCTTCTGGAAGTCAGCCGGAGATTTTCCACCCTTACAGAGGTGGGTGTGTATCACACGCATATCTCAGATTCATCGCTGACTGTATCAGACAATATGAGCATTTCAGTCACGTATCCCTGCCAGACTACTTCCTTCAACTCTTTGAGTTGCAAGCCATCGACTGGCTGCGCCTGCCATTATTCCAAGGAATTGCGACTTCCGCAGTTGCTGGGGCAGAGGGTCTTGTTCGCTCAAGCCGTTCGGCTCTGGTGCAGAGGATCAATAAGTATCAGGCTGAACAGCGGCAAGACATAGTGACCTCCATTATCAAAGATCTCATGGTTGCCCTGAGTGATAACCTACAAGATGACCGCTACGCTATCCCAGTACTGGAGTTTTTGGCTTTCTTGCTAGATAGCTATATCAGCTCCATCCCCCAACTTTCAGAGTCAAGGTTAGTTCCTCTCTACCCGCCGAACTGAGATAACTCCTCACAGTGCATAGCTATAGAAAATTGTTTGTTCTTGTTCAGAAGGCACATTTCAAATCGTCCAACATAGCGAGGTTGGAAGCCGCAATCAAAGTGTATGCGCCTTTGTCAAGGCTGGAGCCGCTACGAGCGGAGGTGTTGAAAAAGATGACCTCAATGCTTCTGCATCCTTTTCCACGGGTATGTCTGCTTAACTTAGTTGGGAGGGATCATTGCGTTAACTGGCATATAGGTTCGAAATGTTGTTGCAGAATACCTGTTTATAGAGACTACGCTAGAGTCGGTGAAGACTGGAGACTGGACGAGACAGCCCAAGGAACTCAAGGGCCAGGTCGAGGATGTGAGGAAAGAGTTAGCTTGTAGATAGACCACATCGCTTTAGACCATGCTGATGCTTGGTATCACAATCAGAGAACATGAAAACTGATACTCTAAAACTAGGCAGACTTGTACAATTATTTTCATAATCAAGAAAGCGAAGCAAAGAACGTAATGATAGCTGACATATACCCCTATATAAATAGGAAAAAAAAAACAGAGTGCATCATCCGTGAATCGAACACGGGCCTCATCGATGGCAACGATGAATTCTACCACTAGACCAATGATGCTTATATGTAATGAATAGTCATCTTTACAATAAATAATCCTAAAAGAAACCTCCAAGCCGAATACTCTATCTTCAGAAGTTCCGCAACCCGATCAATCGCAATTACAACACCAGCTCGACGAGCTCCCCAGTCACAAACATGGCGTCAATGACCGCGCCTGCAAGCAGCGTTCCCCCAAACTCCACGTAAGTTTAAAGCTTCTTTCCTTCATTAAGCCTCCCAACAACGAGGAAAACTAACCCAACAACCACAGAGTCTATGTACGATCCCACCCATCACAACCTCCAGCTTACCAAGTGCACGCTCACTAACACCCAGCTCCCAACCAGGTCCGCAACCTCGAAGAACGTGTCAAAGTCGACCAGCTGAAAGAAGCGCTCCAAGAGATTTTCTCAGAATATGGCAACATCATCGACATCGTCGCGAAGACCAATCTGAAGGCCAAGGGTCAGGCATTTATCGTCTTCGATAGCGTTGAGTCGGCTTCGAATGCCATTGATGAGATTAATGGGTTTGAGCTCTTTGATAAGCCGATGGTGCTGGATTTCGCGAAGACGAGGAGCGATGCGACGGTTTTGAGAGAGGGTGGGGAGGATGAATTGGAGATTCACAAGAGGAGGAGGTTGGCTGAGAAGGGTGCGTCCTTCTTCTTATTTTTTGGGACTTTCTATCTGCGCCCTTTTGTGGATATACGCGGGGGGCTTTTTTTTATTGGCTGGCTCGAGGCTAATGAGGTAAACAGAACGCAAACAAGCCCACGAGGCCCTCGAAGCTCAAAAGAAGCTCAAGCGCCCTCCCGGCGCCCCAGAATCTACGCGTCCTGCCAAAACTGCCAAGGGAGCTGGTCTCAAGCCCACCAGCGGTGCGACGGCGGCTGTCATTCCCGACGAATACCTTCCTCCCAACAAGATTCTGTTCCTGCGGGACCTCCCCGACACGGCAGACCAAGAAAGTCTTACTGCTGTTTTTGGACGCTTCGAGGGATTCCAGGAAGTCAGATTGGTGCCGGGCAGAAAGGGGATTGCGTTCGTCGAGTACGAAAACGAGTCTGGTGCTATCAGTGCCAAGGAGGCCACCTCGGGGATGCCTATGGGGGAGGGTGGCAAGCCGATCCGGGTTACTTACCAGAGACAATGAGCTGCACGGAGGCAGTTCGGGCAATTGTGAGCAACTTGTTCTGGCGTTGGGGTGGGTTTTATCTGTTTTATTATATTGATTGCAATTCGATACAGAGCTTGAGCTTCCCCTCATGGGCTTTTATTCTTCTTTTTCGTGTCTTTTCTCTGTCGAGATTGACATTGTAACAAGTGAGATACAGGAAGATGAAAATAGCAAATGAATGATACCAATGACAGCTACATGCTAGAAAGTATACTAGTTACAGGGACAGGGGAAATGAAAGAAAAGGGGAATAAAATTAGAAAATGACATCTGCATCTTCTTGCTCTCCGAGGACATCAGGGGCGTCAGATGCTTGTTCCAATGCCTTTTGGCCCTCTTTCTCTCGGGCGGCTGCCCGGGCTGCCTCAATCTCGGCGTCTGCAGCTGCAGTATCGCGCTGCTTCTTACCTGATACCTTCTTGAGTCGGTAGAACTCTTCTCTGTCAAGTTCGTCGAGTTCGGACATAATGTCTGGTTTATGTTAGTTGCGAACCAAAGCGGATACTAGAAGTCACTGACATTTGATGGTGTTCTCGGTCCGGGGTATGATAACATGCTCACTGGAGGAGAAGTTAGTTTGTAGACTCCTGGTCTACTAGAAGAAGTGCCTTACATGGCGTTTACTGTGAACAAAGTTAGCTAATTAAGCATCAACCTACACATAGTAATAGAGTACCCACCTCTCCGATTGACAACCTTGATCACCTCGTCTAGAATTACGAACGCAGTCTAAATAGTTGGAGTCAGAGGTGGAAAATAAGCGGCTAGCTTCCACACCGTACCTGTAAGCTTGCAAGCTCAACCAAGGTTTCGACCGCGCGAGCATACGTCTCTCGAGACCGTTGGACTTGCTGACCTCCTTTTCCGAGACCAGTTAAGCCAAAGTCGTTAATTCCTTCCTCTGTGTAGCTCTCGAAATGAGGCAGGAGGACACCGGAGACGTTATCTTGTTTGGCGCGTACACGGAATCGTGCTTGCTTGGCGGATTCTTGAATCTGGTAGCCGATATCGCCACCAACAGCATAGCTCACTTCGGCCAAAGAAAACGCGGCAATCTGCATGACCCTCCCCATCTTCTGTTTGGCCTCATCGATACGTCGAGTAATCTCTGGCTTGCCATGTCAGTTTAGAATTGATACAGGGAAATGCGCTCATGGCGTCCACTTACCCCGGAAACGCCTGTTGTTCACGACAACTTAGTATGCGTATTACAACTGATTCTTGCGTGGTGTACTTACTTGGTCAACGCCTCACTCTTCCTCTTTAGCAAGCTGTGTCCGGTTTCTGCGCCTTTCAGTTTACTCTTCATTACTCCCAGCGACTGGCGAGTCGGGAAGACTGCCTCGCGGCCCTAGGGGTGAGGAAAAGACATCAACAGTGGGTCCACAAGAGGACCTGGAGCAGAAAGGACAGACATACTACTGCACCCGACATGGCTACAAGACTCAAGGAGCACGATCAGCTTGACTTGTGAGGCCACGACAGGGAGCGGCGTAGATGACGATAGGCGATAATGGAGGGGGAGCTTGGACCACCTGCGGCCCGCATGATAGCAGGTCACGTGGGCGCTGCACGACTTCATCTCTGCAGTCTCTCAGGCGGCTATCAGCCAAACACGACGAGAAAGCTCTCCAATTCATGCTACACCCCTTTCTTCGGACCCTGTGTTGACCGTGTGAGCCGATCCCGCTCGACTGAGTGGCGACATGCCAGGGACACTCCTGCCCCCGAGATCTCACCGGCAACACGCGCAAATGGATCGCACGTCGGCCTCAGGGCCGGACCTCTATTTGATAGTGAGTTGTGACGCCGGAACTTGGTAGGACAAAGACTAACTGCACTATCTGTTCACAGGCCGACCAGGATACTGTATATGAACAGGATCTCCTTCGGGACACCGGCAGTATCAAACCATGGCTTGCTTATATCGAATATAAGCAGCAACATGGGACGCTCTACGAACAGGCTTTTGTATGTTTCGGTTGCGATTAATCCTGCTGTACGTGCTGCTAATCAATCGCAGGTTATGGAGCGTGCGTGCAAGCAGCTCCCAAGATCTTACAAACTGTGGAAGATGGTACGCTACTTCCTTCAACCCCACCTTGTCGCATTGAAGTTTGCTGATTTTAGTAGTACTTGGAATTCCGCACGAAGCATCTCCAAGGTCGCAACCCGACTATATATCGAGCCGAATACCAGAAGGTCAACGCACTTTTCGAGCGTGCCCTTATACTCCTCAACAAAATGCCACGGATTTGGGAACTGTACCTCTCATTCCTACTTCAACAACCCCTCGTGACACAAACTCGACGTACATTCGACCGCGCACTACGAGCTCTGCCGATCACTCAACATAATAGAATATGGAAACTGTACAAGACTTTAGCGCGTTCCGCTTCCGGCCAGACAGCCGTGAAAATCTGGGCTCGGTACATGCAGATCCACCCGGAGAACGCGGAGGAGTATATTGAGCTTCTTGTGGAGATGGGACAGTATACGGAAGCCGTGAAGCGGTATATGGAGATACTCGACAACCCAAGATTCCAATCCAAGGAGGGGAAGAGTCACTTCCAGCTGTGGACCGAAATGGTGGACTTGCTCGTATCAAAGGCGAAGCAAATCGAAACTGGTCCGCATGTCGGCATTGATGTGGACGCTATTCTACGCAGTGGAATTGACCGGTTCGCTGACCAGAGAGGTAAATTGTGGGCTGGATTAGCAACATATTGGATCACGAAGGGTAGTTTCGAAAAGGCTCGAGATACCTTCGAGGAGGGCATTACGACGGTCATGACAGTCCGCGACTTTACGCTCATTTTCGACTCCTATGTTGAATTTGAAGAGTCTATTATTGGCAATTTGATGGAAGCGGCAGCCGCTCGCGCTGATAAAGGCCAATCCGACGAAGAGGCAGATTTTGATCTGGATCTCCGAATGCTGAGGTTCGAACAGCTCATGGACCGCCGACCATTCTTGGTCAATGATGTATTGCTACGACAGAACCCCAACAATGTCATCGAATGGGAGAAGAGGGTTGCTTTGTGGGGTGACAACAAACAGGAAATCGTTAACACTTACACGGCAGCCATCGCAGCTATAAGCCCTAAGAAGGCTCATGGGAAGTTCTCCGAGCTCTGGGTCAACTACGCCAAATTTTACGAGAGCGGAGGAGACCTGGACACAGCTAGGGTAATTTTTGAAAAGGCTGTGAAGGTCACCTTCAAATCAGTGGCTGAGCTCGCCGAGACGTGGTGCGAATGGGCTGAAATGGAACTCCGCGGTGAGAACTTCGATAAAGCTGTTGAGGTTATGGCGAAAGCAACGCAAGCGCCGAAAAAATCAACAGTCGACTACTTCGATGAGAACCTCTCCCCCCAACAACGAGTTCATAAGAGCTGGAAGTTGTGGAGTTTCTACGTTGATTTGGTTGAAAGTGTCGCGTCGTTGGAAGAGACAAAGAAAGTCTACGAGAGGATTTTCGAGCTACGCATCGCCACGCCCCAAACTGTGGTCAACTATGCCAACCTTTTGGAGGAGCACAAGTACTTCGAGGATTCATTCAAGGTCTACGAGCGAGGGTTGGATCTCTTCAGCTACCCGGTTGCATTCGAGCTCTGGAACCTCTACTTGACTAAAGCCGTGGATCGGAAGATTGGTATTGAAAGATTACGAGACCTCTTCGAACAGGCCCTGGATGGATGTCCTCCCAAGTTTGCCAAGCCGCTCTATCTAATGTATGGTAATCTTGAAGAAGAACGTGGATTAGCCCGTCACGCCATGCGGATCTATGAGCGTGCTACGCGTGCAGTGTCCGACGAGGACAGATTCGAGATGTTTGAGTTCTACATTACGAAGTCTGCATCGAACTTTGGATTGCCTTCCACAAGACCGATCTACGAACGTGCTATTGCGGCATTGCCCGACCAGGAAGCCAAGGAGATGTGCCTCAAATTTGCGGAAATGGAACGACGACTTGGCGAAATTGACCGGGCCCGCGCAATCTATGGCCACGCTTCTCAGTTCTGCGACCCCCGTACGAACGCTCCTTTCTGGCAAAAATGGGAAGCATTCGAAGTTCAACATGGCAACGAGGATACCTTCAAGGAGATGCTTCGTATCAAGAGAAGCGTTCAAGCACAGTACAAGTATGCATTCACTCTTAAGTTGATAACACTATGGATCAAAGCTAACGTTACTGAACAGCACCGACGTCAACTTCATCGCCTCCCAGGCTATTGCTCGCAGTCAACAGCGGACTCAAGATGGCGACGAAAAGGGCGCCGAGGAAGGAGATGTGGATGGCTCGACAGCAGACGCTATGGCAGCCCTCGAACGACAAGCGCGTGCTCCTGTGGGCTTTGTCGCTGCCAGCACAGGCCCCGAAGGTGGAAATCGACCCCCACCACCTGGCCAAGAGCAGCCAGCTGCTCCTGCAAACCCTGACGCTATTGACCTGGACGAAGATATGGACGCCGAGTAAAATACCTTTGCAATTGCTGCTTTTGTTTTCCTACCATGGCTTTGGATAGTTGCGCTGGCCGAGTTATCTCAATTATCATCGAACTGATGCATGAATATCACACTCCTTTGCTGTTTCCCTTGTAACAATTATCGTCCTGAAATCTCCCCGCAGCCGTTTTTTATCTTATTTTTTCTTTTTTTCTTTTCCATTTTCTTTTTGGGGCTGTCTGTCAGGGGGTTGCTATCCTCAGCACTTACTCGAATCATGGATATCATCTCTATCTTTTGCTTTTCCTTTGTTTGTGTTATTAACACTATTCGTCTTGGTGGTCTGAGATACCTTCGATGGCGTTTTCTGTAGACGGAATGGATTCTACATTCTGGTGCTCTGCGGAGTGACTTCCCTCTATCAGTCTGTATCTATATGAACTGGTTATTCTCCAGTACCAGTAACCTTCCCATTTGTTTGAGGCTATTCGAAAGACTTTGCCCAGTGTCTTATCTCACGCCGAAGTTCAGTAAGGGGTAACACAGAAATGTGCCTATCATGAAAGAATCAGACTCACGTGGTTGTCTAATTAGGAGTCTGATATTACGTTGCTACCAAATCATACTATATGGCCTAAGGAGCATTCCGTGATAACTCTGCTAGACTATCAACCATGTACTACTAACAACGTGTATTGTATTGTTTCGATAGGAGTATGTAAGTATGGAAACGCATGAACATTGATAATGATAAACGAAACCCTAAGTCAGATAAAAAGCAATATCAACAAACCCCATAACGCAGATATCGCTTCAAAACTTCGGGGATGTGAAAACAAACGAGAAGAAGGGATCCGAGAGAGGAAATTGGCTAATTAAGCTGCGCAAAGCATGCTCAATGAAGACTATTACCAAGCAGCTTGTTCACAGGCCTCAGTAATGAGAGCGCATCTGAAATCTGAGTAGCTCGCCCTAAGTTCCAAGATATCCACGTCCTCTGTGAACCCAAAAAGATAGCCTCTCGGATAGCCGGTGCGCTGGAGATTTTTAATGAAACGTGCGAAAAGCTCCCCAAACTTCGGTGTACAGGTCTTGTGCTTTGATACCAGGGTAGTAGCATGTGCATTAACCAGCTCGATCGTAAGCTTGTCCTCTATACATCTAGTTAGCTAAATCATGATGAGGAGGGGTTCTATCCACTTAACACCGAAGGAGCAGCATGCGGATCTACTCCATACAGATCCACGAAGACATCGTAGTCCTTCCGATCACCTGAGATATACAGCTCGCTGTCAGCCAAGACGTCCCCACCCGGGACTTCGATGTTTGCGTGAGCAAGGTGTTCCCATTCATCGATCAGGCCACGATCAAGCTTCTGCCACTTGTAGCTTGAGAGGAAATAATTCCTTGATGGGTTTGAATTGTCCCTTTCCCCTTCAAGCTCCATGACTTTCATGGCTAGCTGATTCTTCTCGTACAACAAATCAGCTACCTTCACCTGGAGTAACTTCACCTTGCCGCGTAGTTTATCGACTTCGTATTCAGTCAACGCAACCTCGTCTCCGAGGCCTGACTCGTCATGCAAACGCCCCGTCTCCCACGAATCCATTTCAGCTGTCCACTTGTGCCTGGCACCTGAATCACCGTTCGCATTCTCCAGCTCCGGCATTCCATCCTCACCGATCCACAAGTGCTCATAGTTGCCATTCTGACAACCATCGTTCTCTTCAGCATGCCCCAAGTCTTCATCATTCGGATCCGCTGACCAGCCACTTCCTTCCTGATAGGTATCGTCCTGATCAGTTTCACCCAACTCACTTGTCGCGTGATAGTCCTCATTCTGCTTGAGTAACTTGTCAAGCTTCTCGTTCATCTGATCCACCTTCTGACGCAGTTTGTCGGTTTCACTCGTCTTGTTAGTCATCCTCATGTCCCAGGAGTTTGCGGGTGCGGGACCATGAAGCTTGTCGTCTGCCATTGAGGATTCGGATTTGATTGTCGTTGAGGCCTTTTCTGCTATTCTGAGGGTCATTTCGTTTTCGTTTGTTTGAGGGTGCTGTAGACTGGAGTGTTGAGGAAGGTTCTTGGAGGCTTGGGTTCGAGGGGGAGATTGCTGTCTCTTCGAGTCAGTTTTGCGACTCATCATGATAGAAAGCTGACTTTAACTTGCCATATATGAGAGGAGGAAACAAGGAAGGCGTGAGAGGGGAGAAAAGAAGAAGAAGAAGAAGAAGAAGAAGAAGAAGAAGAAGAAGAAGAAGAAGAGGTGACGTCCTTACTGATGTTGGTATTTTACTACAGTACTCTCTTTGTTCAATAAAGAGTAAGAGAACAGGACAAGGCCAGTCCACAAGTAAATGGATGTGTGAAAGTAAAAATATGACTGATCAAGGCAGAGCGGAAAAAAAAAAAATGTCTTCTCGAGATCTCAGATTGGTATCCATGGTCTGCCAAAAGGCTGCATATGTACCCAGCTTTTATAGACAACGGTGGGTCTTCGATTGCAGCCATCATCTATGGGAATGAAGGTGTAATCCGAGTGAATGGCCAAATTGAATAATTAGATGGCAGTTGAATTCCTGCAAGGAGTGAGTAAAGACTAGCCGAGTCATGAAAAGGCAGCAATGCTGATAGAAAAATATCATGTTCACCGGTGCTTGGAACGCTGTCCATGTTATTGGGCTTGGTCCACGATTCTGACAGAGACGCAGTATAGTTTTAGACTATCACTGATGTTTTCCCACTCAGATACGAATGAACTTGGTGTGTATAATTCATTACTGCACACTTGATAAATGATTCTTGAACTTGATAGGATCTTCAATATGATGCCGGGACTTGGAATCAATGACAGTTTCTAGGCGTACTTCACCAATGTATCAGGTGACAGGCTTTCCCTATTGTGGTCCTTCTTCTGTTTTCCGCAGGTTACGGGTCTTCGAGCCAAGGCAGCGGAATACTCGTGCGCTCTTTACACTTGTTAGGCAGTTTGTAATGACTATAGCGGAAGGCTTAGAGCTTACTAAGTACAAGTCCTAATGCCATTAGATTCTGGAACGCGTCTCCTCTGCACAGGGCCTAGGAAACGCAGTGGTTTACAACAGCGAGAAAAAGCAGATGGAATCTCCGAGGTGTGCCAATTCGTTACCATAAACTGCCCAAGTTCAGCGTAGATAGGTAGACTCGTGGCTAAGAAATCCAAGCCATTGTTACCTGAACTATGTCAAACCAGCCCTCACATACTTCTCGTAGTATGGACTAGCACGCACCTACCACCTACATGCACAGTATGCCTTGTGAACATTACAGTGACACTAATGGTAGGGCGTGCAGAAGCAAAGTCCATGGGTGCACGTCCCATCACATTGTTTCTAAGCCAGGCGTTGTGAGTACTGGGGTTGAATATGTTGGAGAATAGAAGGTCCTGTTGGTAGGACATACCTGTCTCTGTTCAGTCTGGAGGGCGTCCTCTCAGTCGAAGGTGTTGGTAGTCTCTAGAAGAGCAGCAGGCATGGGGGTAGGGTTAGGAACATTGTTACTGATAGTACTGTCATAAGTAAAGGTCTGCGGGGAGAAAGCCAGTACAGTCTTGAGATATAGACTGAGTATGGCGAGGAGAGCGACAGTAATCTTGATAGAAGGCATACTGCCGGATGGATGCAGAGTGTGTCTGGTAAGGATATAAGTGTTGGTGGGTAGAGAAACACAGGAAGAGAGAAGAAAACAAGGCTGAGAATTTTTGAAGTTATATCCATGTCCCAATCCTAGAACATAGTCAAGTGTCGTAGTTACATTCACAGTCAATGAATACCACCCTCGAAGCACAGTATACCTCTTGCCATTCATGTTTGGATATAGATCCATTCACCTATAGTAGTTCACTATGAAGTAAATGAGCCTTTCAAAGCTCCGATTCTTGAGTATCTTCCTTCGAGTATGAGTGATGATATATACCACATATCAAGAGCAATAACCACGCTATTTGTTTTCCCAAATTCCGGAGATCATTCGTCTCCTCGTTCCAAATGGATTCAGTATAAGGTTACTCAGCCTCATGAGGTCTGTAAGGGAGGTATTCATAGCATTCCTGACGACCTGATCGTTTTTCACTGCATCAGTCAGACCGAGGCTTGAGAAACGTGTGAAGGCCTCCCTTTATCATTCCCTGCGCGTAGGTATTGCTAAAAACATCAAAAATAAAACAAAACAAAAAATAAAGGAAAAATGCTAGTAGCATTCTCGCCCCCTCAGCGTGTTTCTTGTAGGTGAAAAGAACATTATAGTTAGTTAGTTGCAAACGATAACATAATAACCTGGAAATCTGAATGAGTATCTACTCCGTACTGTCGCTCTCCTTGCTATACCCAGTCTATTCCTCGCTCTGAACTTGCCGATAAATATTGGCCACAAGAGGCAGACCCACCTACTAATAGTTGTCCTTCGAGTCTCGCTTAGAGCACTTCCGCAATGCATGCGTATTGGCCGAGGTAGATGAATGCCATGAGGCAAAAGAATACGAGCCTGCAGAACTCATCACATGTGCTAATTAAAGCATATTTCTTCTTTTGGCGCGGCTGAAGCCGGGGATAAGTATCGTTACTTTGGCGATTTCTTCACTAAATTCCATTATGGGAATGAACGCCGGCGCCGCACTTAAGCACTATGCCGATCGACATCTAAAATGCAGCTTGGCAATGATCAGCCGTAAATAACTTCTGTCAAACTTTCGCTAGAGACCCTGAGAGCTGAACTGTGAGCTCCTTAGGCAGCTTGGTGACAAGGCATCGGTAAGACTGTACGCAGTAAACGACCAACCAAGAATCCCTGATGCTCTCTGATCTGAGGTAGATGCCAATAGAAAAAAAATGCAAGACTGTAGCGCACAGACAGGGGGAAGAATGATCCGGCTTGTTAAGAGTGGAACCCACGAGGCGTTGTAGAGATCGGCTCTACTAAGGCTATAGCCGGCTAGTCTTGGTACGCTACAACGAGTAGGGGTCGGTATTGCTTCTACTGATCAGCTTTGTCTTGTCTCCCCTTTTGAGGGGCGATAACGTCCTTTTTTATTAATAAAAAAA